AGGGCACAGCAGAGGGTCAAAGTTTTACATAAGAATATATAGAATTATGCCCCACTCGTGAAATAAATTCCATATCCAACTACAAAACATTGAATATCCTCTATATATTACATTGTAAATAAATATATGATTTTAGAGTTTTTACAGTTTTTCATCAATTTCCCGCCAGTGTCTTGTAAATTCCTCAAATTTACATTTTTTTTACTATAAAATTTTCAACTCTATAATTCTATTAGTAATTACATATTTTAAAGTCTTAATATTTAATACTGTGAACTTACTTGAAAAAAAAATGGATTTTCGAACTTGTATAGGTCTTTACAAGACTGATTTCCTATCAAAATAAGCACCGGTTTAGTTTCTTACGATCCATTCTTTACTCTCCAATCAAAGTTCTTCAACACAAGAGCGTTTAACAAAAAGATTACCAATGGTTTCAATATCATGCTCACAGAAGGAGCCTCATGGGTGAAAAACTTAATTTTAATTTGTAAAGATAACATTTAGTAGGAATTATTCTGTGTAAAATTTAAAAATGTAATCATTGAAATTTAGATTCTTTAATTATTTGAAATGGTAACTCAAATATTTTTTCCCAGGATGCTTCACAAAGTTGCTCTCCCTCCTTTCTTAATTTTTTTAAACCAAAGTAATATCACCATTTTTTTTTTAATTATTGAAAAGATTATATATTTCTTTACATCCATTTTTTTACTCTTAAAAAACCAGAAGACTGACATACAGGAATAAATGGTGTGGAGTTTGGCATTGTTTTGTAATTTTAAACAAGATAACCCCTTTCCTATTGCAGTCCTTAGTCCTATATGTTTTAACATTAAGGTTATTTTGAATAAAATTAGAGCTATAAATGTTATCATTTGAATCAAGGAAATCATTTCTTAAAAAATACAAATGTACCTGCACTAAAATAACTTAAATAAAACTTGATCTGTCACCAACAGTAACCTTAGGATTGTACTCAACATGTTCTTGCTGGAAAGCTAAGCCATTCCTAACGCCATTCTGATATACTTTAGACCAGCTAGAAAATACATCTTTCCAGAATTTATTTTTCAAGGTATATTAAGACACACTTATAGCGAATACGCTTATAATGAATTGTATTTACAAAAGGCTGGTTTACCTTCAGAGTCTGATTGTTATATTTTTAGAGCCGTTACATTTTGTAAGAAGAATAACAGTTTAGATTAAAATATCCAGGTCCTTTGTCTTATACCAGAGCAAGGGCATTGTTGTTGAATGCTCTTGGATCTCTGGGAATTGATAAATCTAAATTTGGTTTGCATAGCCTTAGGTCTGGAGGGGCTACCGCTACAGCTAACGCTGGAGTTATTGACAACTTTTCAAAAAACATTGGAGGTGGCGTTCAGAAAATGCAAAAGATGGTTACGTTAAAGAAAACTTGCAGTCTTTCTGTGTCTAAGTTTTTGGGTATTTAATTATATTGAATTTAATTCTTATATTATATTTTACACCTTTCTTTAATATTTTCGATATGCGCAGGTCTTGGTGCTGCTACCCATAATATTGGCGTTTTGTTTTGATTTTTGAATGACGATATTAATAATTTATGTTCGGTTGAGACTGCTCGAATTAGAACATAACAATAGTTACTTCCATTCATATGTCGACTCAATATATCTCAGAGAGCTTGGAATAAAAGATACCACACAGTCTGACACATCTGTTTCATATTTGGATATTTTCTAGAAAAAAAGACTTTCATGGTAACCTAACAACAAAGCTTTATGATAAACGTGATGACTTAATTTTTTCAATCGTCAACTTCGCTCTCTTATGCAGCAAGAAACCCTTTTCTCCTGCATATAGGTTTTCTTGTCTCCCAGTTGATTCGATAAGCACGAGCATGCTCTACGTACGAACAATTTCTTAAAAGGCAAGCTATTGACAAACAAGTTGATGAAACAAGGATATCAACAGTCTCTTTTAAAGTCATCATTTCGCAAGTTTTATGGTCGATGCAATGACTTGTCAGCAAATACAACCCGTCATTAAGTCAAATGCCGACTGACTTTTTCATACTAATTGTTAGGCCATTATTTACACTCTGAATTGTCTACGGATTTTTCCGTTTTTCCTGATCATGACAAGGAGCACACGGCGGGTTCGACTTGTCGGGAGGGGATACTCAGTCCTCCATGGCACCTGATGCCACCTCTGATGTTTTGGGAGGCCCATATTTGCTCCGCTCCTGATTTGTAATGTCTAAATGGACTTTGAGCTTAAATACTGTTCGTTATCTCCATATTTCACTACACTTCCGTTGGCAGGAAACATTCCTGATTTTGTGAAATATTTTGGGTCGAGTAAAGAAGATCCACACTTGGAACATGCCATCTACATCAAAAGATACCTAGTACGTGGAAGGCATTCCAGCAGAAATTGTCCTCATTTCAAAAAATGCTCCCTAGAATCTTAACTCATGGCATGCCTTGGCGCATTAAGACTGTTATTGGTGTCAAAGGGGAGGCCAAAGAACTATAGCGAAAAATATTTATCAAGAATATAAAAACTACTTGTATAATGATTTTGCAAAAATCGTCATATCTTTTGTTTTATGTCTTTGTTTAGAAGCATTATGTTCTTTCAAAAAATGTCCAGTTAGTGTGTTCACAAAAGCATGTTAGGTTAAAAGTTTTAAAGTTGTATATCATGAGGGTAGGATCGCAATTTCATAACCTTATTTTACGCAATTTTTATGAACTATGAATTGATGGGGTTTTTTCAGACTACCCCCCCCCCCCCAATTTGTTTGCATGACACTCACTCAGAATGATGTAAAAGTTCATTTTAAATGTTCAATATAAAAAACTTCACTAATTGTAGCATTTGTCTAAAAAAAATCTATTAATGCAAGGTAATTTGATGGGCTTTATTTTTTAATTTTTGTATGACATTCGGAACAAAGTTAAAGTTAAAATCAAATACACATGATCTGTGTGAAAATCATATTCATGAGCTTGCATTGTTTTTCAAAGCAAAACGTGTTTAAATTTTGAAAATCAACTTTTTAAAAAAAAAATGAGGAAATTAGGGAGATCGCTGTAGTCTTCACTCCTTGTTGCCACTATGTATGCGTCAAATAAAAATCAATACTGGTTTTTAAAGATGATATTTTTTGTTTAGTTTTAATTACAATCTTTTTCATTTTAGAATATATTTTTGATATTTATGTCAAATAGAAAAACAATTTTGTCCCTTACTTATATATCCTATTCTTTGGCACTTTACCTATAGGAAGTGCGACTCGATATGCATGAAAAACATGTCACTAGGGCGTAAAACTATATACAATCAATCAATTTCTTTGAGTCTGTAATAATGGAGAATAGGAGTTCCATTTTTTATTATTGTTAAAGGACATCGAAAAAAGAAAAAAAAAATGATGCAATTCATGTTGTATAAGAACAATCAATGAAAGATACATCTTTTTGCTCTTTATTTTATGTTCTGCACGACACAGAAAAAGACATACATCTAAATAAAAAATAAACAATTATCTCTTAGAACAGGGATCTGTCAAATTAATAAGCCCAGCAAACATAATTGTTTTATTAAGTAAAACGATTAATTTGATTCAATAGTCGGGGTATCGAGATTGACTTCCAATTTTGATCATTCACATTCCTTGTTACTTATCTCAAAAGTTGAGTCTGACACTACAAACATTAATGGCTGTGTGATGTAATTGATGCTTAGAGTGGGCCTTCATAGAAAAATGAAGGAAATTCAAATTTTAGACGATACTGATATAAGACTTTTCTTTTATTGATTTTGAATAATTGATGTTTGAGCAACAGGTGGAAAGGTGCCTTTAAAGGTAAAGGAAAATGGAAAAAGCTTATTTAATAAGTCAGTGTTGTTATTGATTCAAGTCATTTAAAGGTATGAATTGAGGTCGGTCTTTTTACTTTATTGTACATATATTCCTTACTAATGTGTAATTAACACAAATTTATACATTGTGTTATCAAAGAAAACTATACAGTTGAATTTATGTTGAAGATGGCATAAAGGCGTTAGCCACCCTCGAAGCAACATTCACCTCGGCCTTCGGGCTCGGTGAATACTTTACTCCTCAGGTGCCCAAATCATCGTAATGACCTCAAGAACAACAATAATTGTATATTATATTATACCATACTATAATGTAATCTATTTAATATATATCCATTACTTTAAAATATCTTCTTATGATCCAGAATGATGGATTATTTAATATACCCGGTACGACTATTATTTTGCTTCTAATTTTAATTAGTTTGGTAGAAAACCCTGTGAAGAAGAAAAGCACATTTCATTAAGGTTTCTGGATAACTTGGATCACCCTAATTTACGTATACATTAAAATATGAGATTTTATAATCTGTTACAATTATTTTCTACTCCATTTTATATCAATTTGATGTCTACAGCAATCACATGTGAGGACATGACTTCCTTTTTCAACCACTCCTAACTGCTCTTTGACTACATATGTCTCTTATTGGTTATCAGTTTACATTTTTTTGTAGAATATATAATTGAACTCGGATGAGACATGTCTACTATTTACTCCATTTGTAATCTCTAGGATATCGGTATCCTGCGATAAAGCACTCCATGTTATTGCTCTGTAAACGACTATTTAGTTTTATTGGAAAAAAATGCATGACATGCGAAATAACTTGTGTGAATTGTGTATTCTTAAGCTTTAGATTTATTTCTTTTTTTCAGTTATTTATAAATGTCGTATATGTTTATAATGTTTAAGTCTACTTTTCCTCTTGCAGCTTGCTGATATGTTATCGATTCTAAATATGATTCATCTTCTAAATTTTTATGGAAGAAAATGTAATTAATGAATATTGGGATTTAGGATTCTGCTTATTTTCCGCGAAAATCACCATAGACTTGACGACTATCTTAATCAGAAATTAAGGCTCAGTCAATATGCAATGTTGAAGACAAAAAATCTATTATATAATCAAATATACAAATTTATTTCACTGTAAAATTATAACATAAATGGTACATAATTAAATTGTCAATATCAAGAAGATTTGGCTTTCCATTAACTCTTGGACTCTAATGGTTGCTCAGCCTACAATGAGGAAAAGAAAATGTGTATTCATTTAGAAAGAGAGAGAGAAAGAGAGAGAGATGCATTGCAACCTTCTATTTCTCTTTATATTTAGAAACGTTACATTTTAGAACATTTTTATTTACAATTAAGCTTATCATTTTCAGTACCTATGTATGCATTATGAATGTTTTAGATAAACATTTTTTAAAAAGTATTTTTTTTTGGGGGGGGGTTGGGTTATGAGTTTAAGAGGAACATTATAAATTGTACATTCATAAGAGTATAAATGTATTTAAAAATTGCACCCATGCCCTTGTCCCATAATTACCGTGGCAATCAATTTCGAGACAAAATAGACTAATTTTCATAAGAACGCTTTCATTCAATTTTTCAACCCATTGGCTCTTGAGAACACTTTAAAACAATATTATCCTTTTATAACCTCCGATATGAGAAATTCATTGATTTTTCCCCTGAATTCAAATAATTAAACTACATAGTTAAAATGAAAATGTTAAATGAAAAAGAAGTCCCTGACAGACTTTCCTGTAGGAATTTCCCCCTCCAAATCACCACAGTATAAGAGGCTTGGAATTAATAGAACAAATATCACAGCTGTATGCACAACTATTTATCTTTATTACATGTAATTTAACATAGTATAGTAATCCCAAAAATTTTTATTTGAAAATTCAATTTGTTGGTATCACTATTTTCAATTATTCTTAAAATCAAATTTTATTTTAAGAAAAATTTTGGGAGGATAGTGTTGTTTGAACATATTCAATATGAATGTGTTTTAGTTTGCTTACTTTTCTATAGTTTGACTAAAATATCACTGAAAAAACTAAAGAATTATATTGGAAAAAAGTGTTTTTGAAATTATGAGTATCATTGTTTCTACAAAGGTTGCATAATCGAGATTTTCCTTGAAAGTAAAGTTATTGATAAATTGGACATTCTGAAGACATACAGTATGTAAGCAGAGAAAAATGCTTCAATTATCACTTTGGTTTTCTTACCGAATCAGATACACATAGTTCATAAACAGTTAAATCGGAGGCGACATAAACTTTTGATGTCAGTCCAAGACAGCATTTTTTAGCTGAGCATAGATGGCGAGGCTCGGGATCTTTGAGGCCCCAAACACGGGATACACCAGCAGAACAGCAGATATCCCCCGGCATGCTGTCGTCACCCTGACTTGGTAGTATTTGACTTTTGCCCATTGGCAGATTATGTTTGTATGGGGTTGGCTGACCATACAGGTCGTTATTTGTCAGCATGTTAATGGCGTCTAGGTCTTGATTTTGTGATTCTTCATTCCTACTCATTAGAGGATAATGTTGATTTGGGTGTGGGACATTATTCCTGCCCATTCGTGGGAAATAAAATGCCTACAAAACGATACATTAAAGATTTTTTTTTTTTTGATATATTTGTTTGTTATCCAATTCAATAACAAGTTGAACAGATAAAGGTACTATCAATTTCCGTTTATCTTTGAAATATTTTTTTGTAATACTGTTTCCTTACCTGATTATCATTTCACTGATCTAATTGCTTCCATAACTTATTGATTAAATAAAAAGAACAGTTCAGCTATCTAATTTCAATAATAAAGTACATAGCAAAACAAGTACTCCAATCACAAAAACACATTTTGTGGCACTGAATCTGAAATTGCAAACTCAGATCGAAACCTTTTAGCTTTGGCCATGAATGTCAACTAAATTGTAACAATTATTGCATCAATTTGAATAAAACTACTAAACATATAAAAACTCTTCGCCTTTTTGCTATCTGCATTAAAATCTGAAATAGGAAACCTTCGTTTGATTAAATAAATCCAGATAACGGTTTTCTTTTTATCAACAAACTTGATTATTGTACAGTATTAAGTTATTACACAGCTTTTGAGCAATGGGTAACAGTAAAATAAAAAGCCTTATAAATTTACAAATGGAATTAAACCACATTGCTGAAGTGTTTAATTACTTAAAAAGAACAGCTTAGGAAATAGGACTCTTATTATTATTTGATGAGAAAATAAAACACACGATCAGCCCTTACAAAACCGGTAATATTACCATATTACCTACAAATAATTGTACATTTATCAATTTTAATCTGGCACTTTCATCTCTATTCTTAACAACGCTATAGATCAACATATTATACATCTCACATCTTATGATAAGCACTGTTTCTCATACACTGTAGATCGTTATTTACTAGAGCCTCAGATCAACGCCCCAAAGGTAAAATAAGACAGAAAGAACGCAATGTGCATAATTATATACAAACTACATGATCAATATTCTTAGGACTTTGAAGGAAACAAAACTGAAATTAAATAGGTATATGTTAGAAGACTAGATAGTGATCATTTGTTGTTTCATCCCCACCCGTGGGAACTTGCTACAAATCATGCATAAACTCAATAAGATGTCCTCATTAATCTGCTGTTGTCGGTTTCTTGATATAGCACGTCTGGGAAATCGGGAATGACATTGTCACTAGAAAAATCAGAGTCGTATTCATATCAACTATTCATGGGGTTCCGTGTATTCCTGACATGTTAAATATTTTGACTTCGGTATTACTGATTTTTCCCCTATCATTACATGTATCTTTCATAATAGTAACCGAATATTTCCAAAAACTGTAATCTTGGTTGAAAAAGTCATAAATCAGAATTTTCCAATAAATTTTCCACATAATTTTTTTTCTTGTGTAACATAATTCATTGAAAATCTATCGTGTGAGATATGTAAGAATATATTTTGAAAGCATTCATCACGGACAAACGAAAAACAATGCATGTATAAAGTTTTGTAACCTAGACATATCAAGCATAGAATTAAAACTTTTTATAGTTTTCTAGATCTACATACCTCTATGAAAAACCAAAAGATGAATGTATATATCAAAACTAAATCTGAACAGAAGCTTTAAATGAATATCATAAAGCTGACTATTATTGACAGAAAACAGTCATTTATAATATGAACTACTCACCGATCGGCCCATACGTGGGAAATAAAAATATTTCTGGAAAAACAAAATATTTCATAAGTAAATGGTAAGTAATCATAAGTACTGTATCTTGCGACAGTCCCTGGCCATTGACACATAACAAAAGGTAATAAAACAAACAATGTAGTTTTAAAGATTTTATTTAGAAAAAAATAATTACAGCTTTGTACATTCAAAACAGTCCTCTTCAATTTTTTTTTCTGAATACATATTTGTAGTACTTAAAAAAACAGAATAATCTCGGACTGGTATCAATAGTGTTTAGTCTTCAGATGTATATGAGACTATTTAGTCCCCCTTTTTAAATTATGATAACTTCATCTGCTTGGTTGTCACTGTCTGTGTTCAGTAAGTCTTTAAGTTTCCGAAGAACGTTTCGATCGACTTGAGCATCTGCCGACTTTATCATTTTCTCTGCATACTCTCTCTGAAATTTTTTAACATATTTCGATTAATATTTTTATTTTGAGAGCACTTTCCTGAAATTCTGTCAAGGGGTATTATACATCCAAAACATTATATAATTCTTACAATTCTGCCTTTGCTGTCTGTCAGACTTCGCTTTCGTCCCAGCCTTGGAAACTGGATTTTCCTTTTATTCACATAAACACCCTTAAAACACAGTTGTCATAAAAAATGAGTATACCTTCCATTTAAAATTTTACTTTTAACTGCTATTATTCATCTCTAACTTAGGATTCAGAAACTTTTTTTTCTTTTTTTATCTAATAATATTTATTTACATAAATTACCTTATTTATTTCAACTGCATGCATTGATGTTCAACATCTGAAGGGTGAAAAGAGGGCGGAAGTTCATTGAAAGGAATGGCGATCAAGATGGCGTCAGACAGGAGATAGAGAATTTACGCAGGAAAGCTTAAATGCTTCAGTGAAGAAATTTTACAAAACATTTGCTTACTTCACAACAGCCAAGGAAGAGAGCATATCCATGCAATTTTTGACATGAGTGCGCCTTTATTGTGCAGAGTTACCTGATCTACCTGATGGGATGTTAAGTCATTTTGGCCCATTTGTAAAATATCTAATAAATCATCGTTTAAAACTGGAAGAATTTCTTCAACATTAGATTCTGGGTAAGTGTCGAAATTCTGAAAGTTGTACAAAAGATACATGTTCATTGATATATTTATTTAGAAATAAACGTTCTATTTTTGTCTAGAAATGACATCTTTAGAGTATGCCTCACGTACCGTTGGCATAGTGGATCTCTTTCCACCCAAGCGTGGAAATTGTAAAGGTCTCTTGTTAACTTTCTGTGTAACACGGAGTAGATAAAATTCTTTGTTAACAATGCTATTTATATCAAAGGAATTTAATAAAAGTAAAATTTACATGTACTGGCTTTCTATTAAGTATTTTTTAATCAAGTTTAAAGATATGTTGAATAATTGATGGAAATAAAAAGCATTAAAATCCCTCGATTGTAAAATGTTTCGTAAATACAAAAGAAAAATGTTTTTATAAAAAAAAAAGCTAAAATAGAATATAAATAAGCAATATAAAGAAAATTAATAGAAAATTTCATTGAGCATGCGCTGTGCGTAAGTTACCCTCTGATAAACCTACATATTCTTGCGACCTTCCCAAGCGCGGGAACTGATATCTCTGTGAAAGGACGTCATGCACAGGTTATTTGTAATGAAAACCCGATTTTCAAACAAGACTGATGTGTGTGCATTTGTAGATGCTAGTCAGACATAGGCGTCTTCTGGCTAACACAACTAAATGATTCCCTAACAGAGGGATTGCAAATAGAGCTGTCATAAGCAAATGAGATTCAAACAGAAATTACAGTGACTTGAGGCTTCTAAACACCAATTCATAATATGCTATACAATGCATAAAAATGAGTTTAAAATCGATATGTAGTTAAGTTTTTTTTCTTTCTGTACATGTACATAAAAATGACAACTCTAAATTCGTAAACAGAAATTATATAACTTTTTTTCTAAAAGTAAATACATAAATTCAGAGTAAAACAGTGTATCTATTTTTTTTCTCACTAAATGCATGTTTTTTTTTGTTTTTTTTTGTTTTTTTTTTTTTTTTTTAATTTTTCAGCAAATGTAACTTGTTCACTTCTTTTTTAAAATACAACCTTCTAATAAACTCTCATTGAAATAATTTTGAATATGTTTGAAGTCTGTTCCCAATAAACAAATCATATTCATACAGAAGTTTAATATGAGTAAAAGTTTACTTACTGGTGCGCGCTTTTGTCGTAGAGTTGATGTTGGCTGAAATAAAAGGACTATAATTAGTTTTGAAAATAATCTAAAAAATATATTATATCCAAATAATATTCAAGTACATAAAAATATACAATACATCAACAGTTTATAGAACATAAGCTAATAGGCAAGGAGGGTATCGGGTAAGATACGTGTATACTGGCCATATCGAAATGTATTAATGTTTAGAAAAATTAAAAATATATGTCCAGCAAACAAGATATTCTAAACGAAGACTTCCGTTTTCGTAGATGATCTTTATATTTAGATGGACATATATGTATCCTGAAATAGCTGGGTACATCTCTTTCACATTTTCTTATTCAGGCGGGAGAAAAGGACAATCATAAATAAACTACCGATATCTTTTTAAATGGAATCATCTTTAACAAGAACTTTCAGCTTTAACAAGAACTTTCAATTTAGAACAATCATTTGTCAGTGAGACGTTAGTTAAAACATGAATTTAATGTGATTTGTTGAAGTGCAACACTCCAGAGAATCCCGCGCCTTTTTATCACCGAAAAGTGTAAAAAGCTTTGGTAAGTCCACGTCAACATTAGCCAGGATTCTTAAGAGAATTGTCTTTGCCGTCTCTTAATGACAAAATGTTCTTGCCAATTATCGCCACTAGTATACTGATGGAGCGGAAAGGATGCTAACCTTGCTTGTTTTTTTAAGGAAGTGGTGATAGTTCTGAAAAGTTGGCGGTTCTAAAATCATATTTCATTGTCACGTCGTGAGAAGAACTAAAGTTTTTTCTACAGGTTTCAAAGATATCTCATCACGGGTTGAACGTCCATGATAAGTAGATAACAACTGTCTACACAAAATTTCCATTTTAAACACCTCAATTCTTGTCGGCGTCCGTACAGAACAAAAAGTAATGAATACAAAATTAGTTTCAGACATTTCTTTTTCATCAGAACTCACAGACATTAAACATGGTTTATTCTTTATAAACTTTATAAAACGCATATAGAGAATTGATTGGTTGATTGATTGTTGTTTTACGTCTCATTCGAGAATTTTTCACTCATATCGAGACGTCATCATGTACCGGTGAAGGACTTCAAATTAAGACCTATACTCTGCACTCAGGACCATTGAACAGTGAGGATTCTTTATCGTGCCAACGCCTACTGTGACACGGGACCTCGGTTTTTAAGATGTCATTCGAAAGACCCGTGACTTTCACTTCTTGGTCGCCCGACCATCGGCTTTAATGTGACCTAGGTATTAGGTTTGACACAGCGCGGCGAAGAAGAATCGAACCTGGGCCACCCGATTACTAAGCGAACACCCTACCACTAGGCTATTGTGACCGGTCGTATGTTTTACTTTCTGATCATAGTTCGATATTTAATTATTAAGTTCTGTTGAAACAGCGTTTTTGAATAAGTTCATACCTTAGGAATGGGTAAATGGTGTTCGTATTTTTCAAATCCTTCAACATTATTATTATTATAACAGTAATATAGCAAACTTATTTCTACAACACAATTACATGTATTTCAGTGTGAATTCAACTATTTAGTATGAATTTAAATTTAAAAAGAAATCAAGTTAATCTTTGTAAATTTGTAAATAAATGGTATATAAATGTGATAGCAATTATGTAAAAATGTCATATAGTAATTTTGCTATTTACCGGGTGACAGCTGTAAATTTTGTACTTACAATATGACACAGATGCCGTAAATTTTATTTAAATATTATTTATTATCAAAATAAATATTGCAAAAAGTATCGTCAATATTTTGTTGGTGGTTTACAAATGATATGTATTAAGAATGTCCAGCAATTTGTTTAAAGAAAATTCCTCATTCAGTTAACCATGTTAACAGTAGGTTAAGTGGAATTGTTTAGCATAATAGTAATTTGGATAGCGGATGCAATTCTGAAAAACTGTAAGATGTTTGTTTTAAAGTCTTTTATATTAATATATATATTATTCATAAATTTTGTGAACAAAGACTTTGAACTTTTCCGGCAATTTCAACACAATTAATACAAATTGTAGGTGTGAGAACAAAACATCGGTTATCCAAAGCTTTATCCCGGCACTAAACACCATGTTTCAATAAACTAACACAATTATCGATTTTCCCTAAAGTATTAGAAACTTCATCTATTTACCCATATTCTGCACTGGAGGAGAATTTTAATCACTTCTCTACCTTTATCGAATACCTTATTTTTCATGATACCCCATGTTCGATCCATTGCTCAGTTGAGTTTAAAGAAATTATTAACTGTCAGGGAAAGTTGATACACCATTGTTAACATAACAAACCTTTGATTAAAATGATCAATAACTATTATTTTTAAAGCGCATAGTAATTTTTATTTGTGTATTTTCCCCCCATCGAATTTGTTAAACCAATGATTTTGTATTTATATGCTGTTGAAGTGTGGGCATCAACTTCTCAAGTATTCAGATTTAGAAATAGACTTTCTTGACCCACACCATGCTTCGTGCACTAGAAATTCTTGTAAAAAGTTTAATTGATTAACTTGATCCTGAAAGTAAATGTAGCATTCTTGAAAATCTAAACTATGATTCCAAGATGTCAAGTTTTTATTGAAGACTGAAGAAATATTTTGATTATATTTAAGTGATGATTAAACAGTTACAATGATCCAAATTATAATCGTCTCTTATCTTGAGTGGCTATGAAAGGATCTCTAAACATTGTTGACGTTATTCATTACTTGTTGAAGAACTGCTAGTCTCAAGTAACTCTAAGATTCATGACTACGCGAGTAAAGATTCACTTTAGTCACAAGGATGATATCGGCATCTGCCAATTGATACAATAACTAAAAAAAATCAACTTTTAAAATGGAAGAGTTAAGCTACGTCATTAACCACATAGCAGTTTGTTAAGGCCCGTACGAAGCTTTTTCAAGTCGGAAGAGGAGGGGGGGGGGCACAACCTAACAGGAATTTTTGACAAGCAAGCTAAAGAAAAAAGGGAGTCATCAGATATTTTTGAGGGGACACATCTATAAATTATCTTTGATTTCTATAGAATTTAGTAGCAAAATTATTTGGGGCACTCCCTCTATTTAACGACCCCGTCATTAATCAACAAAGAGTTGTACTGCTACTCCACATTTGTACAAAGAAAGTAGAAATCTATGATTTAACAGTACAGATTAAGATCTGTATATAGCAATTATAACAATAAATTTCCTGAGGGCTTAGCATAACATCAAGCTTGGGAATTAATATACTGGGGAAGGAAAATTAATAAACTGCAATTTCATCTGAGTATCCCCGGAGTCTTGTTAAATTCGATTTTAATAGTGAGCTTGATTTAATGTGCTTTAAATTTTGAATAGCATTCTGTCCAGGTTTTCGAGAATGCATTGCAATTAAACCTTTTACAAAGATATTTGCTCTGGGGCATGATGTATTGTTAAGACTTTCATTTTCCATGTCTTCTAATGAAGAAAAAGGAGTTGATTATTGAAAATCCATTGATTTGCTTTACTGTTACCGGGGAAAGAAATAATTCATTTTAATCAAGAGATTATGACGATGTGAATCAAACAATGAGATCGGTTGACTTGTTATAGGTTTATTTGAAATTGGCTTTTAGCTATGGATCATTCCAACATCTTCATATATGAAGTCATTTCGTACTAATGATAAATTATCCTATTTTCTATGCTTCACATTCTATACCTACTATCATAAAGTATAGCTATTTGATATTTCACATAAAATCAAACTATTCTGATCATTCAGATCTGTGCCATTTTTTGTATTAAATCTATAGGAATATCAATACAGGCATTATTATCTTTAAAGTCTTAAAACTTTAATGGAACTAACTTCCTAATTATCAATCTATAATACATGTGACTTTGAATATTTTTTGAATATAGGTGGAATCTAAATATTTTGTAGTTCATTCTGTTTAGTTATTCTTGTTGGTGTATGATTATACATGTATCTTTCCCAACCGTTCAAACTAAATAAGAACGTTGTCATAGATTAACCATCACAAATATGTTTTTTTTTTTTATAATGCACCGGAGTCAGAATGAAACAAACAGACAAAAAGAACATTGAAAAATGTCTTATTTAACAGACCATATGCTAATAATTCAAATCTTTTGCAAAATTGAAAAATGATATGAATTTTTGCACCTATATACTTATTTGTGTTCAAGACCAATCCCCCGTGACTTATACGCGACGAGTATGTGATTTATTTTAATACGTTTAAGGTCACTGCAGTTCGCGCTTCAGAAAAAAAAAAAAAAACGCTAGGAAAATGTCTTTGAGTAGACAGACCATATATCTTTGGCCATTAGTCTACTTCAGTAGCAGGGATTCGTTATTATCGAGAACTGTTAACAGTGTTGGAATCTCAATTTGCAATGACAAGTTACCAGAAACATTTCATTGCTCCCAAACGTTCACGTGCATTAATAGAAATCAGACATAAAATGTGTAACTGTTTCAGATAAATGACAGATCATCTCTTGAAAGAAGCATATGAAGATATCTTCAAAACATTTTTTCACTCTACGAAGAACACCATATCAAGATGGTATGGCTGTTCAGGGTTATTTGCATATCAGATACTGATGTCCATACATTGATCAAAGTGATTATTACAAGATTCATAATACCTATTACACCCGTACACTTGCATTAGTTTGTCATTATGTAGAATAGAAAAATAACAGTATACTATCAAATACAATTTAAAAATGTGTATAGGACGATTGAAAAATTCTGAGTGTGATAGAGGATAATAAATGTGTGATCTAACTTTCAAAATCAATCGATAAGAAACGTAATTCCCATTCTATAAAGGTATCAATTCGCAGATTTAATTATAAATGCTAGAAATAAAGATCTTAACTGTGTTTGCAAATTGGTTATAATTGTTTGATTAGCTTGCTAATCGCAGAACATTTGCATCGGACGCAATCATCGTTAGAGATCGTAGATTCTAATTATATCTGAGATACATCTTCGTCTAAGGGACAGTGTTTATCCGTTGACAATCACCTTTCTCTCCAGCCGACATTCAAGTCATTAGTCTATAATCACGTTCATGTAATACTTGCTTAATACCAAGATATATTGAAACTGTCATAGTCCCCATGACGTTAAGACAGGGACTAAGTGAAGACTTTGAAACAAATGGTTTCGATACATGGAACCAAATCAGTAGGTTCATAGTCACATTTCAGTTGTAATCCTTGCTTTCAAGATCATTGCATGATTCTTTACATCTATTTCTTTCCAACCATAATTTAAATCTGCTTCTTCCTCACAAGGCCCTTAGGAATCTCCATATTGTATTTTTTCTTTCAAGAATGAGGAGCAAATAACGCCATCATTTTACCTGAACCTTTAAGGAATACTTAGAACATTACACCATAGGGCTATTTCTCCTCAAATACTTCGAGTACATGTACTTTGGAATTTAAAGATCAAAAAGTTATTCATATATTTAAAAAATTGCTGAGAATATTTTTAAATCAAATTATAAGATCAAGTACAATAACAGTTAATTGTCACTAGATATTTTGAGCATTTATAACTAATGCAAGTAAATAGTATAAAACCTAGAAAATATATATAGCATTATCGTTATCATGGCCATTTTAAATGTTAATACCATCTGTCAGACAACAAAATGTCAATGTATACGTTAAGAAATAACATTAAATTTAGTTGTTTAGCATAAACTAACGTCAGTTGCATGTATTATGTCTATAAGAACGTTAGCAGATGAAATTTCTTTAAAGCAAATCTAAAACTTAAATCTATACACCAATCTTAGTACTAAATCCTTTCTGGGTAAATTTTCTAAAGTTTCCGGCAATAAGTAAACCACTTATTATAACTCAGTATCACCTAACATAAATTGTCTGTCATTTTTAAAGATTAAAAAAGGCAATCCAAAAATATTGTAAGAAAATTCAGAGAAAGATACCTAGTCTTATATTTGCTTACAAAAACTAGATAACAAACAAATAAGAATACGATAATCCTACCTTTGCCTCTGTGTTTGAAAGCAGGACAAAAAGAAGTATAAAAGATGTAATCCTGGTCACTAGCATGGTTATGTGTGCTGCTGTCTGTCACTCTTGGCCTGTTGTAACCCTCTGGAAGCTCAAAGCAATTTCTAGCAGACAAATACTTCTTGACCACCCACCTCAGAATTCAAAATGACGTCATAAATTATTTAACCACGTGACAAATTTGACAATGTTGAAATCTATATGGAAATGCCATATTAATATTTAATTGCAGACGACCAATCAGGAACTCGATACAGATCTTATGGCTGGAACACGATAATGATTTCCAATGTCTGTTTAAGCATTTAATAACAATCTCTTCTGCTTCCACGTTTTCACAAAATGGGATATTTGACAACTAAACAAAATAAGTGATTGGATTTTTTTGGTCTCCTGCAATAGTGATTTGAGCACGAGGTGTAAACATGGACATTAAAATAACGTTTGGTCCACTCTCTTCATTACACACTAGTAAGAGCAATCAAGAGAGTTCTACAAAAAGAACCAAATGAACGGTGTTCAACACAGGCATTATATAGGTTCATTTCAAGCTCTACTTCCATCAACAAGGGTTATCTTTGAATAAGCAGCTGCTTACATTGATGCATGAATAGGAAAAAGGATAGTTAATCCAAAAGAAATGTCTTTAAAAATCTTTAATACTATAATAAGAATTAACAAAACTTTTTATACTGATACTTCTATCTATTTTGACTTTTGCCCGAAAATTTCATTCAGATATACCGGGTATATATACTGGGTGCAATATTATATAAAATATTAAAATACACACAATGTTGGGTCTTGTCTATCGCCGCACGGCAAGAATATTCGACTCATTATGACATTTCTCTTCGACATTCATTTTGATTCTGATGATACATAAGATTTACGTAAAAAGGAATGGTTTAGAAATATCAATTGGACAAAGTTCAAATAATTCTATTACTACAGCTCAAAACAAGACAGTTTATTGCAAAATGGCAGTAAATACTATTAAAAAGAAGCACATGAGAGGTTACAAAGATATACAAAGGTAATATGAACTGAAAATGAGTACCGAAAAGTAACGTTATGACGACGTCGGTAGCATTCTTGCCATGCGGCGATAGACAAAACCTAATGTTGTATATATCTTAATTTTTTTAAAAGCATTTTATATAATCGAATGAAATTTTATATATAATATCTAATCCATAGTGATCATAACTGTTGAATTAGTTTTTAAAAAACATCGCCTCTTTATTGTTAAAAGTGCAAGAGTAATACTTACTTTATGTGAACAAATATGATCATGTCTCTCAGGAAATGTAATCTTGGCTTTAAATTAGTAGGTCTCTGTACAGTTAGATTTTAATGCATTGTTCATTGACCCCAAATCGTATAATTCTAATGCAGATAATTTATATGGTAAGTTCATTACATAGAGTAGATCACACACTTACTTGCTTTTATATGTAAAAAAAAAAAATCTGCGCAAAAATGCGAGAATTCCATCGGCATCAAAAGCAAGTTTTTGACTTGCCTAGATGGCCTATCGGTCTAGCGCACTGTTCCTGTACTGCTAGGAGTCAGATTCCTTAGGTCGAGAGTTCAACCCCGGGCTAGGGCTGAAGTGGGTATCCTTATAAAAGTTGATTTCTTTGTGCTTTCTTTATCAATATTTCTTCACCTAGGGCAGTTATGTTAGTTTAAGAGTTGTTGTAAATTGTGCTTTATAAATAAAATTAAATTTCATTACAATGTGTATCGGTAACGATCCTCTAATAAAACTAATGTCTAAATAACTGTATCTCACTTCCATTCTCAATGACCGTGTTGTATAGGGCGGTGCCGCGAGAATTCCATCGGCATTTAACTTGCCTAGATTGCCGAGCGGTCTAGCGCACTGTTCCTGTACTAGGAGTCAGATTCCTTAGGTCTAGAGTTCAACCCCGGGGCGGAAGTGGGTATGCTTATAAAAGTGATTTCTTTCTGCTTTCTATATTAACATTTCTTCACGTAAGGAAGTTATGTTAGTTTAAGAGTTGTTGTAAATTGGGCGTTATAAATAAAATTAAATTTCATTACAAAGTGTATCGGTAACGATCCTCTAATAAAACTAATGTCTAAATAACCGTATCTCACTTCCATTCTCAATGACCGTGTTGTTTAGGGCGGCGCCGCGAGAATTCCATCGGCATTTAACTTGCCTAGATTGCCGAGCGGTCTAGCGCACTGTTCCTGTACTGCTAGGAGTCAGATTCCTTAGGTCTAGAGTTCAACCCCGGGCTGGGGCGGAAGTGGGTATCCTTATAAAAGTGATTTCTTTCTGCTTTCTATATTAACATTTCTTCACATAAGGAAGTTATGTTAGTTTAAGAGTTCTTTTAAAATGTGCTTTAAATTGAATTTCATTACAATGTGTATCGGTAACAATTCTTTAACAAAGCCTATATATGTCTCAGTCGAAACTTCTCGGACCTTTCCGACAAGCGGAAAAACAACCTCGAATGTGTTACGTAGGCGTCCATGACACCCCCCCCCCCCTCATTCATAAATTTTTTAATAAATGAAGGGAGACCTCGTATCTGTTGAGTTTGGAGCTCAAATTTATTGAATGTAAATATATTACCTAAAATATACTACAAGAGTGACTTTTAATTCTGTCTTTCCAGCGCGTTAATAAATACATGTAGGATGCGACTCCATCTTGTATAAATTTTTAACATCCGGTGATGTTTTTCCGACCTCTGACTGAAAGTCAAACGAGATGATGCGATTGACTTATGTCTAAATAACTGTATCTCACTTCCATTCTCAGTGACCGTGTAGTTTAGGGCGACGCCGCGAGAATTCCGTCGGCATCAAAAGCAAGCTTTTGACTTGCCTAGATGGCCGAGCGATCTAGAGCGCTGTTTCTGTATCGCTAGACAGATTCCGTGGGTCACTTCTGGTGGAGTAGTAAACATTTTTAAAACACGAAAAAATTAATGATAAGCTTGCTTTACTTAACTACAGGGACACATACCACGATCTGTAATTATTATACGTATATAGATAGAGATCTTTGTTGGAAACACAAGAATCATGAACTCTTGAATAAATCATATCAATGTAAACAACCCATAAGTTTTTGTGTTTGGTACATTAATTTTTATCATATGTAAGTAACATGATTTAATGCTTTGAGAGAGGAACTAAGTATTTGGATAATTTTAGAACCTTTTATGTCAAGCAATAAGTTATATGAAAATAATCATTCAGATTATACAAGTCTCGTCCAAACATATTATCAGTTTATTTCGTTCGTGTGAACAACGTTCTTTTATGGTCAATATCCCTGATACAGGAAACGAAACTTCCTTAGATCGTCTTCTGTTTCTCACACTAAAATTTCTCCATACAGTCTAGTGTTCAGTTTTGATTTCAGAAATATCTTGGAAACATCCACAAATGCATACACGATTTTGCATGGCTCCTTCCCCCATATTTTGTAATGACTCCTGGATATTTAAGATCACGCATAACAAACATAACTATAAATTGATGTTTTTAACTCTCAAGGAATGGGTCCCCTGTCTCCAGATGGGCGTTTATACCACGTGTCTCTGGGAATAAAAATACGTTAGTGTTAAGTCATTCCTTAAAAAATGCACTCCCTGAGTACATCGGTTCCATGTTAATGCACGATGATTTTATCATTCTCCTTCAGTTTTGATCTTTCATTTATCGTGTAGTTTTTTATTATTATCGAAGATTCAACAGGAAAAATGTTACTACAATGAAAGAATAATTTCATTTGTACATGTACATGTGTATTTCCAAATTGATTCTCTCTAATTACCAAAATCATTCCTGTTTAAGCAATAAACATTTGAAACATATCTCTTTAGTAACATAATCTCTTTATGTCGTTGTATCAATTTATTGAAACATCGCTCGCTGTCTGGGGTCCTTGGTGGAAACAAAACTATTAAATTCTTGAAAGGGTGTTAATAAAGCTGCTGTGCAGAAAACTGTCAAGGAAAAATATTTATCAAACTCATGTTAATGTGTTAAAATGGATCTGTGCATAATGCAAAAATGGTGGAGCTTGTGAATTAAACATACGTACTCTATGAATATTTTCTAAATTTGATTAATTTGAAATCAAGTTCACAAGAGGGAGTATTTTCGCAAATTGTATTTGCTTGACACTAGTGAAAAAAAATCTAAACCGAAAGCTCATCTCCACAACTATTGAATCACGTGGTCTTTCAAATTGATTCGTTGTCTGGGAGTAAGGTGTGAAGAAATGTGTTTCACTCTAAAAGCATCCAAAACAAACAGTGAATGATAAATGATCAACTGACATTATCATAATTCTTTTCTTAATCAAAATTATTTATAGACAGTTAGCATTAAATTATTTTGATAAAATCAATTAGTGTGGTTTTTTGGTATTGAGTTGTAAAGTATCTAACAAGATGTTGCCCACCAAATTACGAAACACTAATGCTAACATGGGAAAAAATTGTGTGGGGGATATCAAGTAAAAGATATTCAGAACTTCAAACACACTTAGAAAGTCTGTATCGGGAATGTTGTCAAGTACACCAATCTTCCACCATTTCTGACAAAATATCTCCAAATACAAATCAATTTATTTTTGTGACTCTTAAACAGATGTAATGTTTATTTAATTGTGGTTTACATTTGCCATCTAAACAGAAATCTTTAGCATCAGAGAGTGTGAACAGTTGCCTTGGGTTTCCTTAGGGCGGCAATTTCAACTGATATAGTACCCTCAGTTACAAACTATATTTTATAGTCCTGTAGTGGTAAAATCGGGGGATAACGGGTTTCTTGTCCAATTGTCTGTGTGTCTGGTTTTCAAATTAATTTTTTTATCTCGAGGCTTGCAGTAAAAGAGTCGACTTTTGTTGTATTCCAAGTCATATTGGCATCCCTAGAAACACTAAGGCTGATAGAGCTGTTAAAATGATATGCATACTTACTTAATCGAGATTTTCAGCCAGAATATATATATATATATATATATATATATATATATATATATATATATATATATATATATATATATATATATATATATATATATATATATATATGGTGACTGTCCGTTCACTATAAATTATTTTTTGTAGAATGTACTGATTTGTCACCTGCT